TTTTTACCCCTCCATTCCATTCAATTCAATCAGTGACCCCACACTCCCCTCCTTGCCTCGAGTCCGTTCATAGGAATTCTGTCATTTGTTTTGTTGTTTCTTTTTATTTACTTTCTTATTTCTTATCTACTTGCATATTCTCCTCCCTTCCCCGTCCTCTCACTCTTTATCGGAGTAGAAATTCTCAGATGAAACATCTTAATCTTTACATTCCTTCCCCAATAATCAAGATCCCACCAAAACATACCCAGATCATCATTTTCCCCCCTCCTTCTTTTCCTTCATACCTACAGCCGACAAGCTACTCCATCCATCTCCCCACCAAGAAAACAGAAACCAAAAAACAATACCCTAACTAGCCCTAGTAAGTTACTCCTTCTATAAAAATCACTCATTCACTCACTTAAACCAAACCAAAATAAAACATGCAGCCAGCTGGGCAAAATTGAGCCGCAGCTGGGCATCCTTACATGACTAGTCTATTAGGTATGTAGTCAGTCCCAAGCTTTTTCCAAGTCACTACTGCACAACATGTTGTTCAAGTTGGCAGTTCAACCTTTGGTGTTCATCCCACTTGTGAGTGTAGTTCGCTCTAATACTGTACATCCAGTGTCCAGTGTCCAGTGTCCGCTAGTCGTAAACTTACTTGCGGAAGATTTTTAAATTTTAGGTTTTTCGGCTTTGGTTGTGGTTGTGTTGCCTCTCCACCCCTCATGTATTATGTCGTAGCTATTTACTGCATACTGTTATTTATTAAATACTTTCTTTATATTAGATTATCTCCACTGTGCTCTGTACTTGCTCTAGACGCATATAGTACATACATAGTACGTAGCACATACATACATACAAACCCGCTCTAATCACGAAATATCACAGCTCGAGTATACTTACTCTACGAAGGTATATAATATGTACTCCATATGTAGTGCACTGTGCACAGTACAATATCAGTACCACAATATATGTACCATATCACGAGGAAATCAAAAGACCCTCTTCTTTTCACCCTTTCATGATACGTCGTTTCATCCCACATAACTCCACAATACGGAGCATAGCATATGCATACAGAATCACGGATAGATGGCTAGCCATGGGTACATTAGTATGAGTACCGAACTTTTCACAAACTGCTGTATGTACTATAGAGTACGCTGTAGTCTGTACAAATTATCCAAGCAATCCCTCCCTCCCTCATACTCCGTACATACCTACAGAGGAACTACGTACAGTAAGTACAGTATCCATCTCATCTCCACATTGGTATCCATCCAAGACTGACTATAGTCTATTAATTTGGAGATTTTATTAAGAGCTAGTAATCGACACCACACCTTGCTCGAGAAAAATTTTTCTTCTTTGCATAAGTTTTTGAAGACAGCGTTGGTGTTTGTTCATGTAGTGTATACTCCGTACGGAGTTTATATGTATATTGTATATTGTACAGTGTATGTATGTACTATATTCTCGAGCCAAGCTATGCTATTATATCCGAGTACTTGTGAACTATTCGGAGTAGAGACTAGATATTCTCAGTATGTCACTGATGGATATGAAGATTGTGATGCGAATTGTTCGCTCGCTCTTCTAGTTAGGGTAACTTTACTTCTGTACTATACTCTGCTGTGCTGTGCTGTGCTCTGTAGTGTTTAGTTTTAACTTTCCTTCTGTCCATACCATACTACAGTATAGACATACATAGAGTAATACCGGTACAGTATGTAAAGTACATGAAGTATGTACGCCGTACGGAGGTATAAACGACATGTGGATATCTTTACACTATAGGTATATACTCAAGTAGCCTAAGGTAGACCACATGGGTATGTATACTTGTGGGTAAACTCCGAGTCTGTTTGTACTTCTACATGAACGTGAAAACGCAGAAATCACCCCGAGACTTCCTAAATTTCCCGATGGGGAATTAACCTAATAGTGGGGATACATGTGTATACCGGTAATATCACATGAAGACATGGAGGGGCTTTTTTTTGGCTTTTTTCTTTTACTCTGTAGATTGGTTTTGTTTCGGAAATTTCCATGTGATGGATCATGGATGAGTAAACAAATAGACGCACGTGGTTGAGGTACCGGTGGGATATTATATGCTATGCTATGCTATGGGGGTATGTTACAATTGCTGGTATGGATCAGGTGAAGTTGAAGTTGAAGTTAAGGGAAAAGCTTTAGCCGTGATGAGGTCCCTTCATTATTTTGACATCTATCCGATTCAAAGCTTTGATGCATGCATGTGATGCGATTGGAAGTTTGAAGTTTTAGTGCTCTATTCTCCTCTACTTGTGTGATGTTATAATTTTTTGGTTGTTTTGAAGTAGAAGCAAAGGTATAGCTTTCTTTTATTCTTGATTTCTGGTCTCCTGTACCTGTCTCCATCTTTATTACCCCCTCTATAACTCGAGGATATGTAAAAGGCCAATCAATCTCAACACGTTAAATTTTAATAGTGAGTTGACCTTATTCGCCAGTATCTTCATCTTTGATATCATCTCTATAATCGATGAAACCATAAAATCACAAAATCACTAAGATTCCAAGTAATCAAGTAATCAAGTAATCAAACCATCACCCCAAGTCCTCTAATCATCAAACTAACAAAAAACATACAACTGGCGAACCACAACCACAGCCAAGCCAAGCCAAGCCACACCCAAAAATACCTATCCAAATCATCACGATATACAGTCAGTAAGTAGCCTACAATACGAACTCCATTCATCCATGTATCAACCACATGCAAAGCACATGCACCGCATGCACGGAATGGTATGTATTTGAATCACCAGCTTCACAGCTTCACTAGCTCCTCAATGTATCTTACCAGGCAGTTGCAAGGCAGGTATTTTTTCCGAGTCTACGTCTGCTGCGTACGAGGGAAGTACTACGTACGTATGAGTCTACGGTAGGGTATGTATTGGCACGGCAGGGCAGGGCAGGGCTGTACTGCGTATATACTATACATGTGATGATTATATGATTATGGGAGGTTTTGAGAGGAGGGGTTTATATATGTGTGGGTTGTACTATAACTATGTATACTCGAGTAATATAATATGTGTATTGCGGCTTGAGCTTGAGTTTGGGTTTGACTATAGAGAAGCGATGGATTTTTTGTTTCTTGTTTCTATATACATATCAAGGGATAAATAGATGTATAATAAAATCTTATATCGACTGGAAGGAAAGCGGAGGTGGGAGAAGGAGAATACAGTACACGGACGGGAAAAATTAAAGGAGATTAATTCCGAGATGTACAGATAACATACGCAACGCTTGTTTGTTTCTTTGTATGTCTGCGTTGCTTATACTTTTCCGTATACTCTATGCTGTGTAATGTGCTGCGGATTTGCGGTGAATAATTATGCGGTGTTTGATGGGATGTCTAGGGATAGGATGGAGGTAGGATGGTGAATTTAGGATGTAGGATACAGAAGCTCGAGGTAGAATGTATGAGATAAAGGATACGAGAAGTGAAATGAGAGGAAATAAGAGGGAAAGATATGTATGTTGTGTATATATTTATTGGGGGAGGGAATTTATTATATTTTTTGGTATTTTGTGTTTCATGTTTTGTGTGGCTTAAAGTTAGATTTGAGGATAGATTTGAGGTTCGGTATCTGACATCTAAATATCAAACTAAAGTCCACAGTTAGTTAGCCAGTAGTTCTATAAATATATATCATGAATCATAGATGAGAGATATAGTCACGATTTCGGATAGAATAGGATAGGATAGGGGGTTAGGGCATAGGGGTTAGGTTGAGAGTATTGACGAGTTTGGGGTTTGATGGATGAAGGGGTTGACGAATGGAGGGGTTGACCGATGGAGGGGTAGATAGATAAATAGATGAATGGACTACTATTCCTTTGGTGGAACTATTTCCTATTTTGTTTATCTGTAAGATATTATTTTGGATTTTGATTTATATATTGGGTTTTAAGATTTGATTTGGGTTTTCGATGTGGTATACTGAAAATGCTTGGAGGATATATTAAGAGGGTATTCTTTTGTGAAGTCGGGGATATAAATTCAAGAGTGCTATTATATATATATATACTAGAGTATCTTCTTTCCCCTCTTTCTTATACCTCATAATTCTTACCTCTTTCTTATCTCATATTCCTTACCAGCTTCTAATAAGAAACATATAAAACAGCAGATCCCTTCATTTCCTCTCTACTCTCTCCAAGTCTATCCACTCTACCCACTACGTCCAGTATAAACTCTCATCCAAATACACCTAAACCTATCAATCTATCTCCTGTCCAATAAAAGACTTCAAACTCAAGATTCATAATCCAGGAATCAAGAATCAGTATTATCAACAGATAATCCCTAAATCTTTTCAGATCTTTCTTCCCAATACAAATAAACAAATACAAACCATCTATCTTATCCATCTCAATCCCAAAACCTTCCAACTTCCGACCTCCAACTTCCAACTTCCAACCTCAAAATACTAAATACCAAATACCAAGTTTTCCACCTCTCATTCTGGCCCTTCCAATTCTCATTCCATTCTCTTCCAACTTCTAACTATTAATTACCAACTTCCCACTGCCCACATCCCACATCCCAATATCAAAGTCCTCCCACATTCAACCTTCGAAATTCAAAATGCAGACCCAACGCTCACCCACCAACTAACCACCTAACATTAACCACCAAACTCCACCCCAACACCCCTCCACAAGCAAGTTTAACTAACTCTCCGATTTTCTCCATACCCACACACATCCATCCATCCACATCTGCCATTTCCACCTAAATCAACACACCCACACACCCACACACCACATCTACCGATACGATAACTCCCGATATCCATTCATTTCATCACATGTACTCCCTGCTCCATAACCCTAATGTCTACCCGCATACCTCCACACTCACATACCATACCTCCACAAAACCAAAACCAAAATCAAGATCTAATCCAATATGTATCCAGCAAAATCCAGATCCGAGAACCCACCCATCCACCCATCCCACTAATACCCGAAAAAAATAAAAAATAGAATGAAAATTAAAAATCAAAATCAAAATGCAAGCAAGAAAGCAAGCGAGCAAGCGAGCAAACAAGCAAGCTATTTAAAACTAGGAGAATTAAATTCCTCCTATTAGAAGCTACTATATGACTTTATGAGCTGGAGGGGAATTCCCATTCCCACAATACTCCGTACATGCGGGGGATATCGGTTTATTACTCCGTATCGTACGGAGTACGCAGAACAAAACTGGGGACTGAGATGGAGATCGAATGAGATAAGTACTCCGAATTTGTGATTTTGATAATATTTTTATTGGCTACCAATATGAATATTATCTATCATCCAGCCGGAAAAGCTAGCTTAGCTAACCCGGTTTTTATTCCTTCATCCCTATCATTGCTTCTTCCTTCAATCATTCTTGCTCAGATTATTCCTTAACCGGTTCTCCTTTAGCCGGTGCTTCATTGACGGATTCCTCTTTGACATCACTCATCTCTTTATCTCCACTCTTTACTTCCCCACCCCCAACCCCACCTCCATCAACTCTATTGAGCACCGCCACCCCCTCCACATGACCTGTCTGTGGAAAAAAATCGAAACCCCTCAAACTCTCAATCTCATACCTAACTCCATTCTCTCCCCCCTTAACAAGTACCCCTACATCCCTCGCTTGGGTATGTACATTACAACTAACATACACAACTCTCCTTGGGCCAAATTTCAATAATTGGCTCAAAAAACTCTCATCACATCCTTTTCTAGGAGGATCAATAACAACAACCGTCTCATCTCTAGGATATGTGACTTGTTTGAAAAGTTTTGGTGCATCGGCTGCCATGAAACTACAACGTGATGCGTCTAGTTTATTTAATTCGGCGTTGCGACGTGCGGATATGATGGAAGCATCCGAAATGTCGATTCCGGTGGAGGATTTGAAGAGAGACGAGAGAGTGATGGTGAAGAGTCCGGATCCCGAGTAGGCGTCAATTAAATATTGAATCTTTGGTAAGTCTGGAGAAGAGGATCCTGGAGGTGGTAAGGCATGGTCTCGAATATATTTTGTGAAAACGGGAAGGATAGAATTATTGTTTTGGAAGAATGATCCTGCGATGCTAGTGAAAAGGAAGCTATCAATGTATTCAGTCGATTCCCCTTTATTATCCGTGATACAAGTTTTCAAATCAGTATACTCTGGAGTTGTAACTTTGATAGTGTTAGGTGGTGTTTCCGTATCCTCTTGATATTCTGGATCGCCTTTGTAAATTCTTTTCGTGCTCTCTCGTAATAAAATCGTGGCCCCTCTTTGGTATTTGTGAAGTTCATCTGCGACTCTTTTTCTCTCAATCTTCATTCCCATCCTTACAGCATCTGTTCCTATTGGGCAATCCTCGATATCCAATGTCGCCCTTTTTCCTTTTTGCATAAACCCAATTTCTGGCACTTTTTCAAAGGCAGCCTTGTTATCGTTCCTTCTGTTTACTCTACTCCTGTAACCTGGAGGTCCGTCAAAATGTGGTGTAAGTTTTGTGCGATATTCATATTGCAAAGGGCTGCCAATCGTATCTTGAATAGCTGGTACAAGTTCAGGAGGAAGTTGGGAGAAGTTCTTGTATGCCTTCTCAACAATTGTTTTCTTGTGTTGTAATTGAGTAGGATAGTCCAGCATCTGAAATTGACATCCTGAACATTTGCTGAAGTATTTGCAATTTACTCGACTATCGTCTCGAAGAGGGGATGGCTCAACCACAGAAACGAAATCTGCCAAAGAGTAGTTTTCTTGCGGGAAATGGGTAATAACTTTCGCCTTTACAATATCTCCTGGTACACTGAATGGTACAACGTATATTCTATTGGTAGGTGGGTGTAGCGCAAGTCCGTCTCCGGTAGATGATATCTCCACAACCTTCACGTCGATTTCTGAGAAACGCTCCGGCAATGGTACTTCTGATGTAGTATCTGCCACAACAGGCGCTATTTCTGCGGATGTTGATTCTTGTTCTTCAGCTCCAGTTTCCCCATTCGCAGATTCGACATTTCCATTTTCGATTGGAGCTTGTGAAGCATTGGCAATCTTTTGCGCCGCAAACAATGCTCGCACATCTGCTATTAAAACTTCCTCAGATGATCCTTCCTTTACTGGCTTTGGCTTGAAAACCTTTTGTCTCTTCGGACCTCGACCTCCTTGAAATTGTTTTCTTTTTCGATCCGGTCCTTGATCTGCTGATGGAGTCATTGCGAAGAAGTTAAAAGATCGAGTTGGTGTAAAGTGGTATAATAAAGGTTTTGAAATAAAAGCTGTTGAAATGCTTCTAAATTTTAACATAAGGTAAGGTCTGGATTAATAGTAAATGATGAATTGGTTCACTGGGAGAGGTGTGATAATGTTATGAGAAGTCAAAATTAATTTTGATCCCCTCAAGCTTTGAACTTTTTTTCCCGAATGCTAGAGAGGCTTGGCTTGGGGTCTAGCGCGTCCTAGCTTCATTGCAAGTGAAAGCTTAACCTTATAACTCTCCACCAAATTCATTGCATTAATAAACAACAATTATGAAGTTAACTCGAGTATCATGGGGAATTGGAATCATCGATCAATTGTCAAATCCGCATTGTAAATTACATGAAAGAATCAAAATCTCTCCAAAATACTCATGATGCTCAACACCAAAGTATCTTCTCCCAAGATGAGAGGTAAAACAACCATCCGCCACCAACTGCAAGTTCCTCCCCAATAGGAATATAACAGGAACAAGAGATGCTCGTCGTGGATCTCTTCCCTAGCTATAGCCGGCCCCTATGTGTCTCCATTCTGATATGCGTATACGTAGACCAATTCGAGGTAGGTCTCGCTTCTCGCTTCTCGCTTCTCTTTCTCTTTCCATCACTGTGTGTTTCTTTCCATCAATCCATCTCGCAAACTTCAACCAGAATCTTTGCCATCCTTCTGCCAAATTCTCTTCACTGCACCCGAAACAGAAAACCCTCCAAATAACCAATCGTCTGAATGTCTTCCGCATCTTTAATTCTTTAAGTTAGTACACTGCAATATAAGAATTGTCACAAAAAGAGACCCAGGCTCTCAGCATAGTGCTCCAAGAGTGTGAATAACTCGAGATCCATGACAAAACTTACTCAGTATAAACATTCGTATGTTCATTAGCAGAATGTCTCCTCTTAACCCCATCCTTCTTTCCTCCCTTCCCCCTATTCCTCGTTCCGTCAAATCTCGACCTCTTATCAAAAAAACCCGCAGACTTTGGTCCACTGTCAACCGATTCCCCATCAGTTTGCCGTCTCATCAGCATTGAAAGTGTTGATGATCTCTCTCGCCGTAAAAATGACGGAGTTGATTGAGTTTGTTGAATCCCCAATGACATCCCTTTCCCCTTATTCGCACTCTTAATATCGTCTGATTCGCTCGTTCTTGAGTCCTCCGCAGTGATTGAGTTCAATCTCTCATAATCACTCGTGAGTGAAATTTCCGTCTCTGCTGATGAGGAAGATGTACTCATGTTCACCAATTGACAATGAGATGGGATATAAATGTGGTTGTGGTTGAGTTGCTCACTTCGATTTTGATCGGCCTTTGGTAAATGACTGCTTGATTTCTGGATTGACAATTCACTCAGGTACCACGTCAAAATCAATAAAAACACAAAAACAATGTCAGAACTCTTCTTTTTTTTTTTTAATTCTGCAGATCTTCTGTTATTGATATGTTATAGAAGTATGACACGTTTCTTCGAATCTCAGATAGAAATAAGATTCAACCACATTCCTCACGCTCTCCGTGGAGAGAAATCACTGGATATTTCCAAAAGAGGGGATGTTCGGATCTTGTGCCGTGATAATTATTTATCTACTCGGCGAACGAGGCCTCATCAAAAACGGCAGCCCAATGTTCGCAATATGCAAGTCTGGACCTATAAGGCTGACCCGACATGCATATTAGATTAACAACGCCATGTCTGATTGGATGACCCCATCCGATATCCGTCTTGGATCACTAGTAACTCACTACCCCATGCCTAATATACAGCCCTGCGAAAGAAATAGATAACATGACCATGACGTACGTATACTTCTTCCTCTGTTTATTATTTGAGGACCAACAGACATTGGACTTTTTACGAGGGTTTTTGTGGACGAAAGAAGATTTCATGGGGATGGGATAGCCTCAAAAGATGGCGCAGGCACAATATGAGGCAATATTTGAGATATTTTATTGCTACGTACGTACGTGTCTAGGCAGCCAGCAAAACGCGGGATTTTATATCTCTATTCCCTCATTTTCAACTCACAATTCGGTATTCGTTGCGAAATAACTTGCGAGTGCACAATTTCTTTCGCTCCATGGGAATTAGCTCTAGATGAAATTTGTAGAGAGCTAGAGCATAGGTATAAGTATACTTAAATCCTGGAGGAATCAATTGACGAGATGATACTTTAAACCCGAATGTTCGCGAGCCCGAGGAATGGTCTTTGAACGAATTGAGATACTTCATTTGAGGTCCCCAAAGCCCTGCACTCACTGGATATTCTTTTACCAAAGCCTTTTCTAGCTACCTAATTATAGGAGGAAGGTAACGAGAAGAATGTAGCTGATCGGAAAGTAACCGCTCATTGAGAAAAGGTGATGATGAGATTTGATAGCAGGGGATGGATGGTCGGGGGATCTGGATAATTTTATCACGGATTTTGCTTCAGAATTGGAATGGGACGGAGATGATTAGTGTTTTGAGGGATGGTGGTGTGGTCGAGAATGAATGATAACATGAAAGGTATGGATGGGCTACACAATTGGAATCGAAACCTGGGATAAGGAGTCGGTAGGTATATAGTTGGGAAACCTCATGGAGGCATGTGTGAATGAGTAATTATGCACCACATTCAAACTGTGCTTTACGGTAGTATCGACACTTTAAATTAGTTATCACTATTGAGAAAACAAGAGATCTCGCGGTAATAATAAACTATACCCTCGCTCGCTATATCAACGTAATCAAATCTAGAACTATCCAGTAGTGCTGTAATCAAGTTTCTAGACCCATCCAACCCCGTATATAATAAATCAATATAAAGCTACATAACGTGCTTGACCATCAAAAGCTCATTTTCTCTCTTATTCCGTTCTTCTACACCACCCTTCGCATATCCTCATCCACAACTCACAACTCCTCATCCCCTCCTTCATCCCAGCTCGATCCCTCATGCCTATACATGGTTGAAGGAGGTGGCCCCATAATTTCCTCCTCCATCAAACTATCTTGCTCTCGCATCATTTGACTACGTGACATGACTTGGGATGAGTGGATTAGAGAGTAAGGGGGCGGTGTTGAGCATAGGTGGTGTGGTTCTTGTTCTTGGTCTCCTCCAATGTGTTGGGAGTGATCTTTGTCTTTGTCTTTGTTCTCATCCTCATCCACAGCTTCATCGTTCTCTTCTTCATCTTCTTCATCTTCACTATGGCTCTCAATCTCAATCACCCTCCTCTTGTGTGCCATCGCTACAACCGGGCGATTATCTTCTTCTCCCTCATCCTCATCCTCATTCTGACTCTCAACCTCGATTACCCTCCTTGACATAACCGGCGGCAACATCAACACCGGAGTACTCCCCCGCGAAGAGGAAGGAATAGATCTCATCGGTGACTCTGGGATCACCTCCATAATAGGACTTTCTCCATGTGTAAGATCCGGTGTAATAGGTGTTTGTGTCTGCGTGTAATCAACACTTGAAGCATGTGATGGCTTTACAGAACGATTCTGTGAAGACGGTACATGTATTGCAGGAGTTGGCGTAGAGAGCGGAGGTGAGGATGGGGGTGCTTGTGCTTGCGTAAATTGTTGAACATTATTTGTGATTTGATCTTGTATTTCATGGGATTCGGTGCTCGTGCTGGATGTTCGGTGAAGAATGGGCGTTGAATGTGTACCTTCTGAAGCATCTGTTTCTGAGGGAGAAAGAGACGATAAAGATTGTACGAATAGAGGCGGTAACAAATTCGCAATCAATTCACTTAAGACTGCAGGTGGTACTCTAGCATATTTTTGTGGTACCGCTTTGACCCATTGACGACTCTTCAATTCTTTCAAGGTCATTGGGTTTGCGAGTGCATATAATTCTAGGATTTCATATGCAACCTTGGAACGTTTATCACCTTTATTAAACTCGGCGTTACCGAGCCCATCATGATTCGTTATCTCCCCAGGTGATTTCGGGGCACTAATGACGGCCATATGAGTCAGGGTCGATACAGGTTTGGTCTGGTAGATCCAGATACGGGATACTGTGGATGGGAAGTTATACGGTCGAAATTCGTGGTTCTTTTTGCGAGATATGATGTTTTCCACGTGGGTAGGATATATGCAGATGAATATATCGGAAGCGTCTGATCTAGGTGCCATAGCATCAAGTTGTTGGGTGGAGAGCCTTTGACTTTCGGGATATTGACTTTTACCAAATTGGTTATAAGTTTGGGTTAGTTGAGCTTGGTGGTGCTGAGTCTGCGTGTGCTGGGTGGTGTGATTCTGACTCTGTTGATATTCACTGCCGCCACAAGGGACAACTTGGGGTATGTCGTCACATAGTGGAGTATCCTCCTTGACATCACCCAAACCGGAAGACGACATTATCCTTTCGACCTGAAATTGTGTCTCTGCTCCAATATCGCCATAAAACGTTTCTGGGAGTTCTAATTCCTTCTCCTCGTCGCCTTCTATTTGTCCAGTATTCGATTGCGTATCGTCCTGTCCTGGCTCAGCTATATTCTCATCTGCATCTCCCACATTCGTATGATCTTCGTAGCCAGAAATACTTTCAACGGGTGTGTCTGCTATAATTTGTGATTCCTCATCTTCTTCGTCCTCCTCGGCATCAGAATCCAAAATCTCCAATTTGATATTCTTAGGCGCTGAAATTCCTCCTCGACGTATGGATGATGGCGAAAAGCCGCGCTGAGTGGCAGGTTCTTGTTTTATAGGAGTATTTACCGGTGATGGCTCTAAACTAGGCTCTGGCACCGCAAATCTTACAGTTTTCGGTGGACTTGAATGCTTTGAAGGAGTTCGAACCACTTGACTTTCATCCGTCCCAGTTTCATAAGTATCCTCGACCTTTAATTTCGGTAGCTTTTCAGCACTCATATAAGTCTTTGATCTTAGGGAAAATGGAACTACAATGTTTGCGGATTGTTCTCTTAATGGTGACCGCCTTTGCGCAGAACTTCCAAATCGACTTGACGTCGGTGTGGCGGGTGACTGTGATGATGGGATCTCTAAAACCCTCCTGTGTTTTGGTGTTTGTGGTGGAGGCATCAATCCAGTAGAAGCGGAAGTAGCAGGTTGGGAAATATTTCTGGGGCTCCGTCGAGGTGGCTGAACTGCTGTCGGGCTGGATACAGGAATATCGTAAATTGAAGGATCGTCTTCTAGTTCTTTTGATGCTCCAGAAAGTGGCCAATAATCAAGCTGTGTAATCGTTTGTGTCGAGAAACTAGGTGTCCTTTCTTCTTCCCCCAGAGTTTTCCTTCTATTCTTTGACGTTTTTGTCCTCCCCATGGTTGGTTCATCACCCATAGTCCTCCTTCGTTTCGTCTTTCGTTTGGATTCCTCTTGCTCATAATCCCCTTCACTATCCTCGATATCATCTTCTATTTCTTTTTCTAGTGCTTCTCTTTCATAGAGTTTCACCCAATCCATCTGCGTAAGTGTATCCTGTTTATTAAGCTTGACCGCAGATTTCTTGCCATAACCCCTAGTTACACGCTTCTTCTTCTCTGGAAATGTAGTTTGATGTAATGGTTCGACCGATTTGTATATTCGAGTTGCAGGTGCACTTCCTTTTGGTTTTGACTTTTGTTTTGAAGGCATTTTCCTTCCAGATTCGGATTATTGTTGTCTAAGTCGTAATAGGTAAATTGTGTTGTATATACTTAAGTAGCAGGTCAATCGACTAATCAATCTATCATTGCCTTGACGCGTCGTTATCTGTTATCAGCCGCGTTGATAATACGCGAGAATAGCTTACTAAGGTTAACCACAAATTTATTACCAATCATCAACACAGATGGAAAATGCTTATGGATTATCTAAGCATGAACACAAATCTTTCCTCATTTACTAAACTACTATCCGCACCCATCTCATGCAAATTATCATCCACTATCCAGCCCCTTAATATCATTTTACATTATGACATCATATTGACGAGATCCGAGAAGCATCTATGCAAACAAGTTTTGTCACATTCGAGATCATCTCGCAGCTCGAAAAGATATTGGAATCAGGATCATTGTATAATCCAGGATCGAGGTGGAGGGGTTTTGTGCCACAGTGACATTTTCACATTGATCTGTTTGGTCCGCTAGATTGGACCAAGCCGGACTTTCGTCAACAGTGATTTGCATCATCATTCATGGTCTTCATGTTTCCACGGAGACAAGTCATGATCGATTACAATGTGCAATGACTCAATGAGATAGTTGGGATCAAGGTCGTCTTATAGACCAGATACGATGATTATCCAGGAGTCAAAATGGCTAGAATAGTGGGACGACTGGGCGGGGAAATCCATTTTAAGGGGAAGATGCACGTGCCCTACAAGGCGAACAGCAATCTTTCGCGACACCACGTTCTGACACCATGCATTTCTTGCAATCATGAAAAATGTATGACGCAGCCAAATTCTTTAGAAAGGGTTCGTTATGCATGATGGAATACTGACGTCGATATCTAACCTTACCATACAACTAATTGCGGAGATGCTTCCGTGATAACTATGGCATAATATAGCAGAACTTCACAACGTCACTGCGCAGTAATCAAGGAAATCAAAGTTTGAAGAGATTGTTGTTAGATGAGAAATAATTCTTCTTCTCCTCGGATCAAATCTGTTTCATATGATTCTTGGGCAAGAAGTTTGACGAGGTACTGTACTAATACTGATACTGATACTGGCATTGGTTCTGACATTGGTACTGATTTTGGACCTGATACTACAAACTTACTGTACTCCACTGTACTAATACTACCAGTTCTAGTAGTATTGTAAGTTATCCTACCTTTCTCAAGTGCGAAAAGCTCTGGTCGTTGAACTTTGCAAGTCAAATTGCGGACCCAAGAACAAAATAACATGTTACTTGGTTGGTTTTTTCCGATTCCTCGAACCTGGTGCTTGATGGTCAAGGATCTCACGAGACATCCAATATGATCTATCATAGTTTTCGACATTGGACCCCCATTCAACCCCCGTTCAACCCCGCTTTGAGGATGTCAACACCCCTCTTTTAGAATGCTCATACCATTTGTATTTACATTATTTCATGATATGCATATACAAATAGACGGACACGGCCACCATTTCCACCACTGGATCACACGTATGAGCTGTATTTCCTGAACCAATGCTAGATGCTTTTAAGGTGCACTAGGCTTTAGGATCCGTGTTAGCATGTTGGCTGAGATATGCGAAAATCGTAACACTTCTTCATTTATCAATATACAATATACAGTCTTTCCCGTCACAGTGCCGATACACATGACCTTATATCGAACCAATGTCAGAAGGTAATGAGCTCTACGTTTGTTACCTATTTTTATCTAAGCGAGATGCTTCCATTTATGGAATGTTACCAATCTGAACACTACATTCCGTCAGCTCCCGAGATGCATGAGCCTACTCTCCGAAAGAATGTTGAATGTGCATCCACACGATCTATGCTCAAAGGAGCCGTGTTAAATGTGTTAGTTTGACCGAGATATGCATCAAAACGTGAGGAAGAAGATGATATCGTGGTCAGACATACATGCAAGTCCCTCGAACAATACTAGTGGGTACCAGTACCACCTGCTTAGTTTGTGTTACTTGTGCTGGTTTCTTTGAGATATGCAACAAAAGTTGAGATTCATCCCTCAACCCAGGGAGCTTTGAGTGGGGCATTCCCCGGCGTCTTCCTGAACCAATGCTAGATGCATACCGTGAACACAAGGGATAATCATGCATTCAATTTGATAGTGTATTACCTGTGGAGTTTTCATTCAGACATGCAACAAAAACATGCTGATACATTACACAAAATCGAGGCACGTTGGATGAGGTATGATCAACATTTAGCAAAGGTGGTGGAAGAGACATTAGCTTCTTTTGTACGTGTGAGCTAGATCCATATTCCCGATATCTTGTACTCCGTACCACTCCTGTTGTGTTGAGATATGCAACAAAAGATATCTTTTACTCGCTCTTTCCGTGGCTGCATAGGTCCTACCTATGCTGGTAGGACTGAGATATGCAACAAAATGAGTAATCATTTACCCGGGTCCATGGTGGCGGGACGGCTGGAGATTAGTATGTCTTGTGGCGTGAGGAGACACTGAATCTATGTCTTAACGAGGGATTGGGGCCTTCTGATACTAGATTGGGCGATTGGGCGATTGGGCGTAGGTTTGGTCATGGTTGTCAGAAGAATTGATGGTAATTATCAAAGCCCACTATTTTCCCTGTCATCACCTTACCTACTTGTTAAGATACTAACACAGGATCACAAATTATCAAGTATAATCTTGTTTTTGTACTATTTTACTTTCATTGCTGTTACGTACTTCCTACTGAATTCACTGCTAGTATCTAATACCGAACGAAGATCCCCAATCAAATCCATGACCTCACGCTTCACGCCAATAGCTTTTCCCGTTTCACAACTCCCATTACAGTCAAACCGAACCAATCACTTGCTGGTGTCAACAACATACCTTCCAGCAATCTTACCCTCATGCATCAAATCATAAACCTTCTGCAACTCACTCAAACCACATGTCTTATATGGAGACTTGATAAGACCGCGTCTGAAAAACTCAATGGCCTCAGCAGAGTCCTTTCGGTTACCAACATATGATCCTTTGATAGTAATCATTTTAATAACCGACTCGAAAACCGGCGCGCGAAGATAGGCACCAGCTGGAAGGCCAATAGCAACGACTGTACCACGTGGTCGAACATATTCGGCAGCTTGCTGGAAAGGCTTCTCATTAACAGCAACCAAAATAACAGCATGTGGTCCAAGTCCATCCCTCGTGCATGCCTTCACATCTTCGACCAAATTCTTGCTCGACATAAAGTCAACGTAATGCTGGGCACCCAATTCCTTAGTCATCTCTTGTTTCTCGGCTCCTCCATCAATAGCTATAATATCCAAACCCATAGCTTTAGCATACTGACAAGCAAAAGAACCTAATCCGCCTCCAGCACCAACAATTGCAACGGTTTGTCCAGGTCGAACTCCGGATTCTTTCAGTCCTTTGTAGACGGTGATACCGGCGCAGAGAACAGGCGCAATGGCTTCGAGATCGCATTCCTTGGGGATACGAGCTACATGTGCGGCTTTTGCTATGCAATATTGTTGGAAAGTTCCATCGACTGTGTAGCCAGAGAGAAGTGCTTTGGGACAGAGTGGTTCATCTGCTTGTTGGCAGAAATCGCAGGCGAGACAACTTCCATTTAACCACTTTTCTTCGCATTAGTATTTTTATTTATTCCACTTGTATTTTGGGATATAGTAAATTATCATATGACAGACTTACCTTTACACCAGCATAATCACCAATCTTCACATCTTCAACAAGACTTCCAACAGCGACAACGACTCCTGCTCCCTCGTGACCTCCTACAAGTGGTAACTTCCTCTCTAATGGCCAATCACCATTCACAGCGTGGAGATCCGTGTGGCATACTCCGGAATATTTTATGTTGACGAGAACTTCATCCGGACCGGGTTTTTGGACGGGGATTCTTTTGTACACGACGGCTAGGTAAGATTAGATTAATTAGTCCACCGGTGTCAGAGTTTGGATTGTGGGGGATTATCAATCAGACTGGCTTACGTTTGCCGGTTTCTTCGACTACTTGTGCCCATTGTTCTGTGGGGAGGTTCTCCATGTTTTTTTTTGTTTTCTTTATTGGTGGTTGTTGTGTGGGGAAGGAGGTAGGTGGGTAGGTTTGGTGGATGCTTGGGATTAATTTTTATGGGTAGGTAAGGTTAAAGAAGCGAGGTTGATTATGTTTCTCAAATAAAAGCGAGATAGATTTTTATGAAAATATGAAAAAATGTAAAAATCGTAAGATTATTTATTGAATTGAAATATATATACCCCGTTAAAAATCATCACAAACATCATACGATTCATCTTTTGAAGTTATCCACCCCTCTTGCAATTGCGGAGGTCCCGTCTGATCGACAGTCACGCTTGTCCAAACGCTTGTGTCTCTTTTGGAGTTTGTGCATTTTGATTGGATGAGTAAGTATATTTAGAGTTTACAGCTCTCGGGTTTGTGGAAGTCTCGGAATACATACATACCTAGGTACTCGTATGTACATACTTTCTTCGATTGTGGAGGAGGTACGTACCAGTGAAACTTAACAGGCTCGGTATGTTTTGTTAGGTAGGGTAGGTAGGGTAGATACATACCGGATCAACGGCGGCGGAATAGGGGGTGAATGAATGCATGCACGTGGTTACAATGCATATCATTATTTATAGGTAGGTAGCGCAAGGCAAGGTAAGGTAATAACAGGGCGTGGTGAAGTAGCTAGGGTGCGTGCGGATGATTTCCTCCTCTCTCCTCATCCTAAATCTGGTTATGAAAATCTGAGCATTTATTTACTTACTCGGATGATATTACGGTAGGATGGCGTGGTTATGAGGTTCATTCCTTGGGAAGAGCTTGTCGTTATGTCATTTCATTCTGCATGCAGCTCATCTCCTCCCGCATTTCATTAATTTTACCATTCACATTACTCATTACCACGTGTCTGGGGCAATTACTAGTTCCCCCATGTGTGACGGATGCACAAAGTATCGAGGCTTTCCGTTCTCTGTTTGTTCGAACCTTCTTCTATAGCTACTCTGTAAGTCTTGTGTGCATGTATGTATGTAATGCGGGGAAAGCTGCTTTGATAGTGCACCACGTAGCTTGTTAGCGGGTAGCACAACAAGGAATGCGGGGTTCTGTATAATGTACAATGTGACTGACTGACTGCGGCTGGGCAAAGTAAATTTCTGTTTACCATTGAATCCGAACACGAGGGAAAGGATCTACAGTGTACAGAAGGAAGAAGAAGAAAAAGGAAGAAATTCTTTTCGATCGTTTAACGTTCTCACTGTCATGTTGTGATATTCAACCATTCCAACTGCCGATGGTAACCTTATGCTTTTCCTATCTTTTGTAAGTTGCTTGTCACATGGTGATAAATTTACATATACATGCATGACACGATATCACAAAGTGGCCTGTTCGAGTTGTGGTCTGACATCGCGGGTTTATGAGCTTGAGCGGCTGAATGATGCGTGTGTTGGTCCGACCGATGCTTGATGGATGAAAGCTGGGCGAGGATAAGGATAATGTAATGCGCTGATTTGGAGCTAAACTATAACTGGATTAGTGGAATTTGGCGGGGCTGGCGGGGTTGGAGGGTCGGAGGGGTCGGAGGGTCGGAGGGTAATATGGTGGGTGGGTGGTCTTTCTTTCGAGATGGATGGAATTTAGACGAGAGGAAATCTTAGATCTTTGTGTAGATTTTCGTACGAGCGAGTCCTTTTATGATTGAGTGTGATGAGAGTAAGGTAGGTTACAAGTCATTTATCCAAATTTATTGGTGCTTCGTTACCCATTTTTGATGGGAGTTATTCATGACATGTCATCAAGTAGACAGACAACATGCTCTCCTTACAATGAATGCTGGAATGGAAGGTGGTAAGCTTACGAGCATTTGCTCTATTCCATTGGTAGCAGAAACTACTTGCAGAACTTGGAGGTTCCCCAAAAGATTCCGCAAGAAGAGCAGGACGTTGACCTCATGTAACACGAATAGAAGCGGTCGCAGTTACACATACATATGTGGTACAAATCAGGGACGTAAGAATAGTTTTAACAGTACTCGTAGGTATGATTGGGAAACCTGGACTCTTGTAGAAACAAACATTCTACACTAAAATCCGCATGAGGAAATGGAATAGAAACGGTCCGTGGTAGAAAGTACGACAAGGTCAAATTGTTAAAGCTGTTGGAATAATCCTGTCGTGCGAATGCTAATCATTCTTTGAGGTGATTGATAAGACAATCTTTTGCATAAACTTTCTAGGTTGATTCAGTAGAATCTCTTGTAATCTTCCAGGTATTTCTTCCCAATAGTACCTGGATATATAGATACCAAGATATATAGATACCAAAACCGCATTGGACATGGTTCATCGTGTAGACTGTAGTGAACTTTACATCGATATCCAAATGAATATTCTTTCGCTGGATTTTCTATAATAGCAGTTCGCTATGTAACCTTATGTTTGACATAAACCAGCCTTTCAATATGTACTAAAGTCTTGTCATTCTTGTGGTAGAAAGATACTACGAGATATACGATACAATATACTGCGCGATATATAGCTCTTCCCAATATTATCATCTGCTGTTTCGAACACATCACATAAAGTATTTGAATTTAATGAATTAACATATATCAAGAGATATTTATTGGAATATGCCTTGTATTTATTTTCTCAATTTAATAATCTTATTCATGATCATCTTGAGAATCCCCGTTTTGATTTCTCACTCCCCCTTGAATGGACCTAAGCTCGTATATAGACAGGTAGTCCTATATGATAATATTTCTTCTTCATATTACTACCTATTTTTACTGTTTTAGCTTTGTAGCATTCATTTATTAACTTGCTATATATAGCTATGAAAATATGAATATCATGGCAATCAACACGATCCATCCCTAACAGCTAGCACCACAATTAGGGTATCATATATATCCCCAAGCTACGAAGCCGAGGAGGATAATACGATGATAGACTCATTAATCTATCTACACACCTATATTCCCTTCACGAATCACTTAGTTTCTGCTCCGAGAGTATCCTCAATAGCCCAATATACCAAACTCTTAATTAGAGCCCATCCTCTCCACAGGGTTATAGATCTAGTTACAATTGCCCAGCTCTAGTAATTGCCAATTGGGATACCCGTACCGTGGTGCTATAACTATAGCTACTGTGTGGAAGAAATAGCTCACATGCAGTGGCTGATATAGTTTAGTTTTAGTTACGGCTGAAGAGGCTAAATGAGTTATGGATATCTTTGGTGATATGGAGATATAGGTAGAGTGGTCGAATATAGGCAGGTTTTAAGTTTGGATCTTGATGAGTTTGTTTTCTTTTTGTGGGGGGAAAGGGGGGAGAGCTCGAGGGGTCACGAAATGCTTGGGTGATGTTGAGGATCTTTGTGGATTAAGATCATATATAGGGGTTGTGTTGATCATAAAGAAAATTTGGGAGTTTGAATACACTGGGGAAAGACTTCGGCGATAGAGAGTTGGTGGTGCTGTAGGTGGTGGGGGATATAGGGGAATAGAGTGGAGGGATTGGAGGGATTGGATGGAGGGGAGAATGATAGTGCGGAGAGGATTTATTATAGTAAGGTTTGTTGAGGTTAGATAGAAGTTTTTTGGAGGGGGGGCGCAAAGGGTGGAAGAAAGGGGTGGAGAATAAAATCTGTATTTATATACCATAACATCTAGCTCTGCTCATTGTGGAGGGAATAGAATGGCAGATTTCATATTTATATTGTAAAAGTGGTAGGTCGAGATACGTGCATCCCGATAACACGTTGTGAGAAGGAATTAAAAGAGAAAGCTGATTAGATCATATTGTAATACATCACTTATAAAGGAAACAAAATTCACAATGGTTTTGGGATTGAAGTTATAATTCCAACTTTCTTACAATATGATTGTGCAGATACTGGCCGCCTTGATCATTAATCATTGAATATATCCAGAAATTCCTCGTATCAGGAATATTATATTATAATCAAAAAGAAACAAACTTTTTGTTCCATCTAGTGATGAAGATACTATATCAATTATAACAGGCTGTTGATCCGTCTGTGTAGAGATCCTTCAGTAATCTCTAACTAGCTGATTAGCTTCCTTTAAAAAGATATATATAATATATTTTAGGCCATTGTGATATTAATATTCCGAAATATATTATATTAAAGTGTAGATAGAATATCAATTTGTTTTTGATAATTAAAAATTAAATTTGTTTATTTAAAAATAATATTTTTAATAATAATATTTATAATAATAATATTTTATATTATTTACCAGGGGCCTGCGCCCCCCGGACTGTTACGAGGGATGCGATCTAGATCACGTGGAAGTGGCCTGGTGTAACGATCTGGTTGAGGCAGCGGCTGCCTTAGGTTTCGTATGGTTGGTAGTTGTAGGTCAAGGCTAATAATCACTGGTTATCAATTAGTTTACCTACATTCCAATCGATCTAGTAACGTATTCACCTTCGAGTGGATAACCAGTGATTATTAGCCTTGACCTACAACTACCAACCATACGAAACCTAAGGCAGCCGCTGCCTCAACCAGATCGTTACACCTGGATCCTCGAAGGGTTTATAATTAAGTATTAAGCAAGGGCTTTAAATAATATCAATAATTGTAATTTGTAATTAATAATAGAGTATATTAAATAATTGATTTTGAATACAAAGTTTTTACAAAAGGAATCCTTTCCTAGCTATATAGATCTTTGTATCGATTGGATTATAAGGATCTAATGGATCTAGAATACGATTTCCTTAGATCCTATGATCTATCACGTGACTACGATCAGACTATATGTCCGAGCTTGCTGAGGGTGGGGAGATTACGTGAGGCGATTACCATACAAATTTATATACAAATTGCCTTGCTTTTTGATGAGGCCTAAGCTCATGTGGACAGGTTGACTGTTACCTTGTAACAGCTGATAATCTATATATATTTTTCCAAATTTACTCTTTTTAGTATAATATTATGATCACCTTAAAACAGATTATATACAATTATACAGTTACTGTATTGTAACGATCTGGTTGAGGCAGCGGCTGCCTCAGGTTTTTGTCTGGTTGGTAGTTGTAGATTAAGGCTAATAATCATTAGTTATTTACTCGAAGGTGAATACATTACTAGATCAATTGGAATATAGGTAAACTAATTGATAACTAAGTTGAGTATAAAGCTCTTAAATTATGAAACTATTCTGATTATATATTAATGAATGTAAAGGAGCTTTGTAAAACTTTAAAGCTTCAAAAAGCTTTTGAAGCTCTAGGAGTTTTCGAAGTTTCCAGAATTCCTTATTATATGATTAGGATCAGATTATATATTCGAGCTTGTTAAAGGTAGGAAGATTATATAAGACAATTATTATACAAATTTGTATACGAATTGTTTTGTTTTTTGATAAGATTTAAATTTATATAGATATATTGATTATTGTTTTTCAATATATCTTTATTTTAATTATAAATTATAATATTATCCTTTTCTTAACTAAATATTATTTCAATTATTTATAACCCTCTAAATTTTATTTGATAATT